AGAAGGAACACCGTCACGAGTTCGGCCACGGGCGTCGCGCTGAGGCGGCGGAAGACGTGGTGGAAGTCGAGGGCGAGGTCGTCCATGGTGTCGAGGAGGCCGCTGAAGAGGTCGTCAAAGTCGGCGTCGACAAAGGTGCGCAGGCCGAGGCGCGCCGTCATGAGGCGCTTGTACTCGGCGAGGAAGACGGCCTTGTACTCCTCGCCGACCTGGCTGATGATCTTCTCGGCGCGGGCGACGAGGGCGTCGGCGTCGGCCTCTGCGACGCCGTGCTCGAGGAAGGCCGGGTCGTCGACGGCGGGGCCGGCGCCGAGGAGCTCGCCGAGGGCCTCGCCGAGGCGCACGAGGTTCCACCAGATGATGGTCGGCTGGTTGCGGTAGCTGTAGCGCCGGGGGCGTGGGTCGTCCGTGGGTTGGGCGTGTACTGCGGGTCAAAGTCGTCGAGGAAGGCAAAGGGCCCAAAGTCGAGGCTGAGGCCGAGGATGGACGTGTTGTCCGTGTTGAGGACGCCGTTCATGAACCCGTAGGCCTGCCACTTGGCGACGGTGAGGGCGTTGCGCCGCGTGATCTCGCGGTACAGCCGCGTGAAGCGGTTCTCGGCGGCGTCGTCGGGGCCCTGGATGTCCGTCGAGGGCACGCCGCGGCCTGGGTCCGCAGGGGCGGCCTTGGGTTCGTCTGGGTTCGCGAGGCGCGCCGGCAACGCTTCCCAGCCGCCGAGGACGTCGGTGGCGACGTAGGTGGCGAGGGTGCGGAGGAGGGGTCGCTCGGAACGGGCGCGAAGAATGTCAAAGTTGCCGAAGCGCAGCCAGGACTGGGCGAAACGGAGAACAATGGCCCCCGGCTCCACAGTCTCGCGGCGGACTTTGGAGTTCGGGAGGAGGGTCAGGGAGAGGGCGCGCGTGGTAGGGATGCGCAGGGCGTGGAGGGCTTCGGACACGATGAACTCGCGGATGCTGGAGCGGAGGACCGCCTTGCCGTCGGCGAAGCGCGAGTAGGGCGTCATGCCGGCCCCCTTGAGCTGGAGCTCGTACTGGACGCCGGTGGCGGGGTTCTTGGTCTCGAAGAGAGAGATGGCGCGACCGTCGCCGAGCTGGCCAGCCCACTGGCCAAACTGAAAACCGCCGTAGCACTGCGCCCATGGGTAGCCTCCCTCCAGCGTCTCTTCGTCCCAGCCGTGTAGCCTGTTCCCGGCGACGGTCTGGCGAAACTCGTCTGTCGTCTCGTCCCCCATTCGGATGCCAATGTCGCGCATGGCCGCCGGGCTCACGGCGAGCAGCTCGGGATTTTCAGCGGGCTCTGGTCGAACATAGGAGAAGATGGCATTGCGGACTTGTCGTGGCCTTATTTGATCCCGTGGTGTCTCGTGCGAGTCGGCTGGTGTCGGGTATTGTGAGTCGGCGGGGAGGGAGCTCGTGAAGTGCCACGTCTTGGGCAGGTCGGCGATGGAGACGCCAGCAGCCGGTTTGCTGACATGGCCATCGCCTGAGGCTGTGGTGGACGCCATGCGCGATACGAGCAGAGGCAGTCGCGGGTGAGCGTGGCGGGGTGTGAGGATGGTCGTGATGCTGGATGTTGGGCGCAGAGGTCGGCTCTTCGGAATCCTCATGGACGGATGAGCGGTCGGTGAATCAAAATGAATGAGAGAGAGAGAAAAAAAAGGGAACAAGTAAAAATCCCCAGCAGTTAATTCACTTGACAATTGATACGTTCCTGACGAGGCACAGAAGGTGGTGGTCCAGAAGTGTCAGAGGGGGCGACATTTGAAATCGGATTGCCATCGCCATGTCGAGTCGAGTCGAGTCGAGTCGAGACCGGCCGTTTGCTTTACGTCATCCTGAAGATGCCGCCACTTTGTCTTGTCGCGCTTCGGGGGATAAGGTCCTACATGAGCACTTTCTGCTCTACCTCGGACGACTGGTGATGACGGTGCAGGCACGTCAGGGACAGGTTCAGAAGGGATGGACGATGTGAGAATCGCCATGGGCAACATTTCCCAGCGCAGTGCTTCAGCTCATTGATGACGGTGGTCGTGATCCATCATGAACGGACGACGAAACGGCGCATAAGGCAGACGGGAGCGTTCAGGTAACGGCAGGCGCTCTGCCGTCTTAGGTACGGTAGTTACGGTAGTTACGGTACCTTAGACGCAGGGGCAGGAAGATGCGGGGCGAACGGGAGAGCTTTGGCGTGGCTTGCCCACCTCTACCCACCCATTCATCAACACATCTCTTCATCCATCCATCCACCCAGCCCACGCACCAGCCGGCCCCTCACTCCTTGAACAGACCAGACGGCCGCCTTTGGATGGCCCGACCACGGCCCTTTCATCTCGCTGCGAAGGGGATGCCTCATGTGTCGAGTCATCCATTGCCATGGCGAGATCAATCGCGCCATTGAGGCTCCTCCTGGGTCAACAGCCAGGCGCCGTGTTTACCGGGCATGATCCACTCTACAAGACAAGCAAGGAAGGAAGGAAGGTCAGGCAAGGTGAGGCAAGTGAGGCAAGTGAGGCAAGTGAGGCAAGTGAGGCAAGGCAGGCAAGGCAGGCCAGTGTGAGAAGGACTGCAGACATACGATGCCGAGATTCTACGAAAAATTCAAACTGTCTAGCGCCCACGTACTCGCAAGCCCGAATGCTACTCTCAACCTCAAAACACTCACGCAGTTCAAGCGACGAACTAGACTCCAACTCGTTCCGTCGATAGGTCCTCTTCATCCGGGGAAGAAGAGCTGGCACGGGATAACCCGGTCTGCCCAGCCCGCCGGCCATGCGCCTCCCCCGAGTCAGCATCCCGCATCTTCCCCAACTCGACACGGTCCTTCGACCCCTCCGCGAAGCCCGCATTCTAGATCTTCGTGCTTGGCACCCTCTAGCGGCGACTTCTCCGCGTTGCCCTGCACTGCCTATCCCAGTCCCCCGGCTGGCTCTCGACTCCAACCCCCTCCAACGGCAAGGTACCTAGTCAAGGTAGACACCGACAGGTCGACGAGAGGGTTGCAATGCGTCAATAATTCACCTTCTTGGCTGTTCGTCCCCTTGGCCCGGAACGCCCGATTAGTCCCAGCTCGAGTCAACGATTTCTCCCGGGCTCGGGGGACGGGGGTCACCCCATGCTCTGCCATGTGCTGAGGGCGAGGGGATCGACCGAGTCGTCTGCTGGAGGGAGCTCGCTGCAAAGGGAACAGCTGCATGCTCGTCAGGTACAGACGGGGGTTGTAGAGTCTGTATAAAAGGCGCGGCACGACGACCTCCATGACGATATGCTTCCTTCTCCCCTCACGCTCAACTCTC